TATACGCGAGCGAGACCGAGGGATATGTCGCGATACTTGCCGCGGCAATAGTAATTTTCTGTGCCCGATCATAAATTCCTGAAGGCGATTTCTCTCCTTCCCCAGGCGGCACCTTCGCTCACACACGCATCCCGTGTATTTTATCTAGTTTAGTTTTTTTTTTTTTTTTTTTTTTTATTTCACGGAGGAAGACAGTAGATACACGCGGAGCTTCCCTCGCGAATGTTATCACTCGCTGTTCGCGAGCCGATGCAGCCGTATATATATCTTATCCCGAGCCAGCAGATTCCCCAACAAGTTATCGAACAAATTAGCGGTACGATAAAGTTGACAGAGATAAATCGAACCACGTTGCTTTATAAGCGCGATACAATTTCATACTGGGCGCTCTCGATACTGCCTTACTCTTCTCTCGTCGATTATAAAACCGAGATGGGTTGTTAATTAAAAAAAGTAAGAGGATAAAAGAAACTCTAATTAATTTGTCAATTTTTAAAACTGATATTTTTAAAAACAAAACAAAGAGGATATTATTTTGTTTCTCAAACTTATCTCCGCAATCTGATGGATCATTCTCCGCTACCGTTGGTCGCGCCGTGATTATTTACCCCGTCGTACAAACGCACGCACGCGCGTGCGTGCGTGCGTGTGTCGAAACCGGCGTGTGCGCCATTTCGCACGGTCGTCCGCGCGACATAGTTCAATATGCATGTACATCGATGCGAAACAGGAGAATGAATGCATCGGGCTACGCACCAAGGGGGGGAACCGCAGGTAGGCAGGCAGGCAGGTAAAGGCAGGTAGATGCAGGCAGGTAGGTAGGTGTGTCCATGCGAGAGCGCCGAGTGTGGGCCAGTCCAGTTATTTGAGACGGATAAGAAGTTGAGAGAAAATGAAAAAGAATAAAAATAAAAATACGCGATCACGAGAGAGTCCCGAGAACAGGATTGATATAGGTAGAACGGAGGGAGAGAAGGAGGAGATGCAAAAGAGACGCTCTATCGAATCCAACAAAAATTGATAAGGCACCGCATTAACGTAGCATCCTTGTCAATGATATTTCGCTGAAAAGGACAAAAGGAGAAAAGAGCAAAAATACGCTTGTTGGTGTACCAGGCGCGAATCTTCCGTGTTCTCTCATTGTCTCCTCTTTTGTTCGGGCGCCTTCACTTATTGCTCGTTTGTTATGCGATCCGAATTATTTTGTCATATAAGTAAAAGTAAAGTTAACGCGTCATCCGTAAAGTTACATGCTGATAAGAACGACGAGATAACGATAACCTATCGCAACGTGGCAATGACTTTTGGATGACAATTCTTGTTGTAGACAAAATATTGAGATAATTATTACGATAATAACAACGAATTAACTAGAAAGGAGAGAAAGAGAGAGAAATGACTTCGCATAATTTTTCCGCGATGACGTCGGTGGTTCAGGAACGTCGTCCTGTTCGTTTGAATTTACAACGTATAGTCCGTCGACCGCATAATGGATCTCTTAATCACATCGTTTCATTTGGGCGATTAGACGATCACCGCCCACTACTTTTCTCGTATCTCGAAAAGAGTCTCCCGGGTCTCTGCCTAATTTATGAAAATGTATTCACTACGAATCGACCGAGTGGGCCGCGACGAATCGACTCGGATCTGTTTTAAGTAGCGTCGCTTCCGTAATGAGGGATTTTCAAATCGACGATTGACGTGCCTAATTATATTTAATTACAATCGTATCTACATTATATCGCTCGTTTCGATACGCGATTGTACGAATCGCACCGGCGGTGAGAAATCAACATATGTGTTTGTGCGTGTGTATCTATATATCGACGTATCTAATATATCTCGGAGATATTTTGAAATTGCGCGCCCCGAGGTGTCTATATTTCTCTCTCTCAATACAGATAAATTAGAGTTTATCTCGGAGGGTATACCTCGATACCTTGCGTATAGCGCTACCAGAAATTTATTCCACTCATTTATCCGCAGTCTCTTCTAACGAGCGATGCGATTCGATGAACCGTATTTCGTCTCCTACGTCATTTAACGCTTCTATCCATTTTGTATGCTTTTGTTTTAATCAAGCGCGTTAAATGCGTTTTATTTGCTTTGAAACTATCTATACATTTCTATACGCACATTCGCACGTAGGATTATACGGAGTGTATAATGCGAGCGTTTTAAGAACCGGGGAAATATCTTGAAGAGCGTACATCGCCGCATTTGTAGCTTCGGCATGTCGAGCGGCTCCGTTAATTTCACTAATTAAGTTAGCGGCTGACCGCCCTGTTTGTTCCCCCCCGTTCTTCCATCGCGCCCTCCCGATCTCTTATGAGCGTTATTTATACTCTCTCTCTCTCTCTCTTTTTTGCGCATTAATTTCTGATTTTCTTATTTCTCGCCCGACTTCCTCGAGATTGCCGTCGTTATTTTCGCTCTCCGCTTCGCGTCGGTCGTTGAGCGTAAATGCGCCGTTCTTTCTTATTTAAATAAATATATTACGTACGCTTTTTTCTTTAGATTTCAGTTTTTATGATTTTATTAACAAATTGCAGAGAGTCAACAATCGCGAAAAGGCTCGATTCTAATTTACACGTACGTTTGCGACGTATGTCGCTTCGATGCTAATTGAATAAAAAGATAACGATTGTTATTAGCGTAAACTTGTAATTAATTATCGGAAATCGGCGTATCGTATGCCTTCGTGTGACTTATACAAATCCCTGCGTGCAATTGCGTTATTTTCTTCCAATCCCTTTCGTACACGACTTTACGATGCACTATACACGCATTTTATTCAGCGTGGAATTCCAGAAGCCATAACCCGTGAGCCTCTCGATGGTGACGTACGAGCCTCGTACAATGGCAACAAGATGACGGGTAACAAAGTACGAATGTCTCGTTGCGCGTTGTAAATCACATCGCGTTTACCGGACTTTATATTCTCTTTTTCCTCGGCAGTTTAATCCGTTGTAGATTAATCATGAGAAATCGCCTACTTGGGCCACCGCGAAACTGCCCTTTGTATAAAGGGTGTTTCCGAGATTCTAATTAGAAATAAAAAACACAAAATGATATGAAAGAAATATCTTGATCTTCTCGAGAAATTATATATAATCGCCATTAAATTTATTATTCATTTTCTCTCAATTATATCTTTCCTGTGATTTTAAGATTTTTGAAGATTCGCGAGCTTTGAATTTGAAACGTGGTCACCCTATACATATATCGCCGAGTAGGTCCTCGACGTGGGACATTTATCCCCCTCCCCCTTATGTTCACGTTTACGGTTTTTAATGCCAGGATGACAAATATGTCGTATTTAATGATATTTATGCGAGCGCGGATCACACACATCAGCTTCCACTCACAGGACCCGGGGATTATCTTGTCCTCGAGAAATATCGTTTTCGCCGTTTGTCACTGAGCCGATCTGACACGCAACGTGTCGGCGATTAAGTTACTCCTTGGGCCACCGAAAATTAAGAGGCGAGAAAATTAAGGACGCCTGTCGTATATCAAGCGCGCCTTTAAATAATTACGCGTTGTGTTTCATGAGAGAGATTTAGCTTTCCTTGCTTCCTTTGGCTATGAATAAGAGGACGATTAAATGGGCACACACAATTTAATCTTACATCGGAGTACGTACAAAGTTTTAGGGTTGTCGTCCAGCTGAGAAAATTGATCCGAAGGAATATTTTCGATCTTGGAAATTCGAAAGGGTAAATATTATTTAATATCTATTCCAAGCGTGTTCCTCCTCGTAATTGGTTTTTGACTACAAAACTGGTTACGATAGGATCGGGCTTCGAATGTAAGTTATTCGCGCGTACGGCGTGGAAGCATGAGGTGAAAGAGTAACGCGAGAAACCAGACCCTTTATACGGGGATCCAGATGCGGGTGTATATATCGACACGTGTGTGTGTGTGTGTGTGATAGCCCACTGTCATTACGCTCATTTCAGTAGCGATAAAAATGCGCTACCGTTTCGTCCACAAAATTTCAATCGCCGTAAAAATGTATCCGAGCATAAAGTATTTTCTCGGATTAGCGTTAAAACGACCCGAATAGAACATTTAATTCGATAATTTTCGACTTCCAATCGCGCAGAGAAAAGTTAACGAGTTGAATCGAAGCACTCGGGTTAGATTTGCAAACGGAAACTTGTTCCGTTCTTTTACCGTTATATCACGGTCAATCCTTCGTTGAGCGCTTCAATACACACACACACACAAACACACGCGCAAGAATGCGTATTACTTTTTACTTATTGGCTTCGTGAAATTATGGACGACGATGCGAATATTTAAGATGCGCATTTTAATTTGTTAACAGAAGACCGCTGAAAAAGAGTTAAGATATATACGTTCGCTTATATTGTATATTCAACTAGCCATACCGTAATAATTTTCACGCTTAAGTGGTTGGCTTATTAATTTGACTTCGAAATCGCATCTCTCATTGCTAGAAAGATATTTGATAATTAAAAAGAATCCGACTATAGAACATCCGTTTAGAACACAAACGGACGGGTCGATGGTAAAGCACGGAAGGGCGGGGATCCTAATCAGAAGATAATTAATATAATACACGTTTACAACTACCTAATAGAACGCGCGAGTGATGTAACTAACGGCCGTGTATCTTCATCTTTAACTCGTAACGTTTCGAGGATGCGCCGACATAGGCACGTAACACACCGGTATACCGGGTAATAAGTTATACATCTTTATGCACACACGTCCAAAGGATGAATCTTCCGATGTATTTAAACTTTCTTTTTTTCCTAAATTTTCTATTACCGTTTTTCCGTCACGCGCGCGCGCGAACATCACGAACGAATGGCCAGTAACCGCGCAATTTTACACCGTTTTATCCTTTTGCGGGGATGTAGGGGAATACAAGAAGTACAAGTGCACGTACACAGCATTCGAGGTATATTACACGAGGTGTAATAAATACGGTGCGCGCGCGCGCGCGGTGACAGGACAATCCTTCTTACCCACTACCACCACGTGGCCGAAGACCTGATCGTTGGACACGTGGGAACAGTTCCAACGGTGATGTCGGAACTGGTGCCGGCACTCGCGCAGACCCAGTGCGGCGCCCTCGCCCACCGCTGGCATGGCGTGCGGCGCTTTTCTGCACTGCTCGCGTTGGCTTTTCGCCAATCCGGGAATACGACTGCAGACAGCCGCGCCGACCACCATTGCCCCGACCACCCTGAAACAGAGGGATCCGTTAAAATTATGTGAGAGTATCGCGGTATAGTGGACACACGGTCATAGTAAAAATCGTGAACAATGGATATCTGGTTAAGGAATATAATAGGATATTGTTCCTCGCTTTTAAATCGCATCCTATTAACACGAATTAACGGAATAAACGGAAAATAAAATTATGTGGCTCCATAATTTCTAAAAAAATTATGTCATCCACATAATGTAGTACTCAAGTATTAAATAATTTTATATATGCATACATATATATATATATATATATATATATAATAATAATATATGTAAAATTTGTATTAAAAACTTTATTTCCTCCTATCTTTATCGTCCTTATTTCGACCCTTTAACGAGCAAGCTGCGTGAACGAAGCGATTAACAGGTGCTAAAACCGAAGCGACGACAAGCTGAAACTTGATATCCTCCAGCCTCCTGCTGGTCCGTTGCGTAATTTATATCCCACAACGCAAAGCATACTCTCCCAAGTATTCTTACAAAAGGCGCTTATTCATATTTAAATTCTCCTCTTTCACGAGAAGTAGAATGGAAAATATTCACGAGTGCTTTAGATCACTTTAAAAGTGACTCATAAAATCGTGTTGTCCATCCGTCATCCCAAGATAGCTATAAATACACCTTTCATCGAACCACTTACGCGATTCTGTTATTCTTTCGTGATCATTGATGAAATATTGAGGCGCCCGGGGTATACTTGAGGGTGAGTTATCGAGTCTCGGGGCTGGATAAGGTAAGAGGGACCTTCAGGTAGACCATTGAAGAGAGAGAAGGACCGTACGCGGTAGAGACAGAGGATGTGAGATAGGCAGGTTGAATTTCTGAGAAGCATGAAATTGCGACGATTACGTCGCGTCCCCGGGGCGAGAATTATTTGCATTGGAATGCATCGCGCCGGTGGCCGCCGAATCTCCCCGCCGGTGGGACAATCTACAGGGTGTCCGGACGACGAACGTGAGAAAAGGGGAAGGGGGCAGCGGCATGCCGCCGCGAAAACGAGCCGGCCCGAAATTCGCCCGGAGGGGTCCCGCTTTCGCCTCCCTCCGTCTCGTCGCTCTCGCGAGGCATAAACGAGGAAGACGTTGACGCGAGGGGGCCCGTCGTCGTCCCTTCAGAGGAGAATCTCTCGCGAGCGCATTCGTGACTCCCCTTTAACGGAAAGATGCAATCACCTGCAAGGGGTCCGCCGAGGTGGAAAAAAAAAAATGGAACGAAAGAGAACGTTCCACGTCATTTCTTATAATAATACGAGACGGTGAGAACAGATCCCTTCTTCTTGTCCCCCGTGTATTTAATTCCAGTTGCGCTCTCTTTTTCTCTTTCTCTCTCTCTCTGACAATGGCACGATACTAATACGTATGTAACGTATGATTGACCGAGAAACTAGTCGGAGATGCGAGCGATTCGCAGAAAAAACTGACTGTATTGATTGCAAAGGAGCGGTAACGTTAAATGTTAACGGTTACATTCTTCTTCTGCTTAATTACGTTCAGGATACATCATCCGTTAGCCTTCATTAGACACAAGTTGCCTCTGGCATGTGACGGACGGATAAGTGATAGCGGTAACTCATTTGTCTTCATTGCTCGTTACGTAGTTAGGATGCACTTTATCACGATTATGTCCGCGCCGTTACGGCGAATCGTTACAATATCCTCGTCTTTCGACGAAGGAAAATTGATCATGATATAATGAGTATATATTTTATATATTTTCTATATATATTTCAACTCTTATATTTTCATAAATCGGATTATATTACACTTATATCATTATATATATTTTTATGTTTTTGTTTGTTAGTAGAAAAAAATCTTTTCAAGGAGCTTATACGCGCGCGTCACGTCTTTAGTATACCGGCCGGATAAAAGGCAACAACGGACCCGCGTACATACGCTCAGCAGCAATCTACACGTAGCCATTAGCGCGTAATGTATAACATCACGCCCGTCTCATACGGAGGCTAATGGTGTGCTATTTGCGACAGGGTATCGCTGCACCGTTCGCCACCGACTGCTAAAGTCGCTGTCAGGACGATTTCAATTGTGTATCGTTCACCGTCGTTTTTATCAAACATTGTCATTACGTATAATTCGATATAGAATTATACACAAGTATTTTTTTTTTTTTGTATTAAAAAATATATGAATTTATATTTATAGTAAATTGTTTTATAGCAAGATTATATTTTTCGTAAAAAATTACCAAGTCGTGACAACGCCTTTTTTCTTTGACAGTGCAACCGTTCCACCGTCGATTTGAATGATACCAACTTGTCTTTATCGTAACGAAAGATACGACTCATTATCGTGATCAACCGCCGTGTTCTTGGCTATTTGGCATTACTCAATTTGCTGTAATGACTACTTCGAGCGGATCGGACAGAAGTGGAGAGAAGCAACACTATGAATTCCAAAAAAATTGGAAACTGAGAGGAAATAATCGGCCTTATATACGCGATATTCGTTGATTTCGTCGATAAGCTACTGTTGGAATGCCTTCGCCGCACGTGTACCTATAGAAAGCTCGCGAAACTCTATATTTTTTTCTTTTTCTTTTTTTCACGAGAGATTGTACCAATTTATGCTCTATCAAGTATTATTAGTTTCGCTTTAGACTAATTTTCGAGCATAAAGTATCGAATGATTTCACGTTCGTGCTTGCTCGCAAATGATGTATAATCGGCAGTTGCAATCTTTGCGAGAGCTAGTCTGAACGCTTCGATTAAGTTCTCTTTAGAAGCTCCTTCAATCATGTATTTCCCGGTCGATCTTTACTCCTGCACGTTTCGATTTCTCACCGGAATTTTTCGACGGGATGAATCACGATCCGCCGATTCATCCATGCGGTTGCGTTTTTTGAAAGAAACTTTCGTGCGGTTAATCGCAGAAAGTCGAAATATATGAATCATCTTTGATGATATCAACGTACAAGGAAATTTGGTATCGTCGACTATTAAAGTATTATTTTTAATCGTTTCAATATTAAAGCTTCGAAGAATGCACGAAGTAATAGAAGAATCGAGTATGCTCGCGATCGTACAATACAAGTTTTTATCCGACTATTATTTTTATTTTTCGAAGTACTTTAACTTGACGTAAATCCCTTGAATGATCTGTGGCGTTACGAGTATTTGTTAATGCCGGGTTGTACGGTATATTATGAGGATTGACATAGACGTGTGGTGGAGATACGAGAATATCGGTAGGCGCTTTTCGCTCTGCTTCGATGATATCTCGATAGCGATCGCGTCGTTTGACACCGCGGGGGTTCCACGGCCGAGAAAACCTTGGCTATATAATACACGTGTGTCGCTCTGCATGCTCGAATAACTGTAAATCTTCGTAATGCCCCGCGCGATGATATCGAAGATGCCATCTGCGAAATGCTCCATTTGCTACAAGCGCCATATCCAAGCGGAAACGGGAGAGATTACACGAAAAGAAAAGAGAGAGAGAGAGAGATCAGATCTTGGTATTCTCACAAAAAATTACTCTTGACGGAACTTGACAGAATTTTGTCAGTAAAAATTCAAATGTCAAAAGAAACTTTCAAATTTCCTAAAAAAATAAATAAAAAAATAATACAAATTTTATTTAAAAAATATATTTTCACAGTAATATTGCGTCGCGCGGTGCAAAAATATATCGAGTGTAAAATTTTTTTCGAATAATGTGTGGCCATGATTATTTTGAGATAACAAATCAGCGCAATCCTTTCATGTTTCACTCACACATTGTAGGAATATATCGCGAAGGCGTGGATAAATACCATCTAACGTGATCAATTGCATTTATCACAGGGTATATTTAACAAGAGGGAGAACGAGAGAGAGAGAGAGAGAGAGAGAGAGACAGTAGCAGACTTAATAATTACAGAGATCGGTATGTGCGTGTCTGTATCTCAAGATCTCGATGTAGCTTGTAGCTGAATAAAATCGAGCGAGTTCAGTCTAATTAACGCGATTGTATCGAGAATCTTTTATTGTCTACGCTGCTTTTCAGGCAGACTATACATTTTCAAATATACGCAGAATTGAGATCGCGATAATTATGCTAGCGAATGACTTGCGATACGTTCTAACGATAAAATTAATAGTCATTTTATAACCATTAAAATTGATGGCTATATTCGTTATCTCACCACTATCGTGATTGGAATTATCAAAAAAAAAAAAAAGTTACGATTATTAATTTTTCACCATTGCCATATTTTATCCATCATTATCTCGGTAGAGATAGTAACGAGATATTTAGCCGGAACAAGATAATCTTTCCAAAGTGCAAAGATTACGTCATTATGTAATCCTGAAACTCACATTTCTCTCTCTTCGTGTGATTCCGCACCTGGATTTTGCATGCCTTTAATATATGCTATCGTGCGTTCGATGAAAAGAGAAACATTCTGTAAATTGCATGTTACAAGCCTCGAGACGACGCGTCTCTTTAAATCGTTTCGTCATTGAGCGCTCTGCCGAGCGTATCAACACACAACGAAATCTATGCATCATTCTCTTATCTAGTCCGCAGATTCACGACTCGCGATCGTAAATTCGAGATATACTTATCGGAGATATCTTTCCCGCATCGCGAGCGACGCACGTGCAACCTCACGTGCGAGAATGTGGAAATCGTGAAATAATTTACTGGTGTGTGTCACGCGCTTGTGTGTAACAAGATTAATTGTCTAGGAAAATTTACTTCAACTCATTTTAATTTTAAATGTCAACGACGGAGTCTTTGTGCGCGGAGATTTTTCAATGCAGTTTATTCAGGGTTCACGACAACTTGTTTTTGAGAAGAATGTAGGTTTATTTATTTTTTTTTTTTTTTTTTTTTTACTACGAGGGAGTTTCACCCCTGCGTGAACGCTATTATCACCGATTGTCATTCTGACGGAATTCGTTCAACTTCGTGTCCGAGACGAGCGCGGTCGCCGCCGTTGCTTTGTCCGTTTGTCCATCAGTGTCAAGAG